ACACACACACACACACACACACACACACACACACACACACACACACACACATCGACTGACTTGGAGGCTCCAGATTGCTTCCTCAGCTAGAAGCCCTGTGACATTCTATATGGCTTCAATAACTCAGAGGACACAGTTCGCTTAGTTTTACTCTGAGAAGAAAAAAAAGATTATGACAATGGGAAGATAAGCCCACTGAATTTAGGCTGGAGGTAGCGGGATTCCCCAGCTCCTGAACTGATAGGAAAGGCTGCTTGACATCCTCTATCTACAGCAGGAGTGGGCAATGTCTTGAATGGCACCCCCTCGTGAATACACAGCACATTTACAAACCCCATAGACAGGACTGGGTCACATCACAGACTTAACTACTGGCAGGAGAGTCTAGGAAGCAGCAGAGCAGGTACTGTGCTCCGAGGAACCCCAAAGGCAGGCGATGTTCAGGTCCCCTGGGCTCTCCTGCTCAAAGCGGTGCCAGCCCCAGGACCCTTGGAGCCAGCCAGTCACCAGGCCGGGTGATGGCCCCTGCTGCCCTTCAGCTTCAGAAGTCTTTGGAAACTGGTTTTCCGGGGTGACCAGGCTTCCTCCCAGTTTCCTCCCATCCTCTCCCACCTCTGGCCTCCCAGACCAGCCTCACTCAGGAGAAAACCATTTGGAATGCAAAAGAACAAAAGACTGTGCCCCTGGGGTCTGTTTACCAGACTCCTCCCCACGGCCCCACCCCCACCCCCCATAAGGGCCCCAGGTCTGTTTCTTCACCACTGCCGCTTCAGGGTTCTGATGTCACTTCTCTGCCCCGCCCACCATTTCAGATTATCCCGATCACCTGCCTCCCCAAACGTGTGCCTCCCACCCACCCCCTCCCTGGATTTGAAGACTCTAATCTCCCCTCTGCCTCCACCTTCCCAGACCAGTCCAGATCTGTCTATGTTCTACTGGGGCTCAGGAACTGGGGGCTTTCCTCCTGGGCCCTGATTCTGGGATCAGACCTGTCGCTCACAGTGATGGAGGGGATTCTGCTCTGCCTGGTGTGTTCGGGAAAGAAAAAGGAAGCACCAGGACCAGGGTGACGACTCCAGGAGGGTCACAGGGGCACTCTCCCTGCTTGCAAGGCTGGCTGTCCCCCATCTCCCACCCCCCACCCCCCACCCCGTGCCTCCCGCGCAAGGAGCAGCCACCCCCCTGGGAGCCATGGTGGGGGGAAAGTAGACTCCAGCTCCTCCCCAGGTGCCTCAGTCAAGGGCAGGGTACCAAAGGTGTTGCAAGGGATCCCAGCAGGACTGAGCCGGCCAGTGGTGGTGCCAGGAAGCACAGAGTCATGACCAGGCTGCTCCTGGTGCTCTGGGCGTCCCTGGTGTCTGTGGAGCTCGCCCGAGGCTTGGCGAATAGGGCGCCAGGTAAGGGATGGACAGGGCTGGAGGGGCATGGGATGGGGTGGGATCCGGCCTGTGCTGCCCACCCACTGCCGCACATTTTCACCACAGCCGGAAACCTGAGCTGCTTCCAGTGTTTCAAGGTCCACCGACTCAACCGGTGCCAGCCCAAGGTGTGCCGGCCGGATGAAAAAGTCTGCCACAGCAACGAGGTGCTCCTTTACACGAGTGAGTCCTTCCTCGGGCCTGGAAGGCTCCCGGGCCAGAGGCAACATTGCGCCCCAGCCCTACACCCTCAGGCCCAATGAGTCCTCTAAGTGCTGGACTACAGGGGAAGGTGTGATCTGAATTCTGGCTGTGCCTTTTGCTCTCCCAATTGCCATATCTGTCACTCCTGAAACTCACCCCAGGAAAAAGGCTCTCCTGTGACATTGAATTCCCAAATGAACAAGTGTGGCATGGCCAGTCAGCTACGACAGGTTTGGGAGGGCCACGCACTCACCTTGGGGTATCATGGGGTTGTGAAAGCAGTGGAACCTTAGTTAAGATCAACCTTAGAGAGGATGATGGGACAAAAGCCAACAAGATACTTTTCCCATCTCCGTGGAAAGGTGAAAATAGGAAAATGTCCAGAAACCAGAAGTGGTCAGTCAGATCTCTTTGGAGCACATCCATGGTGGCAGTAGTCGCTTCAGCCTGGCTTAGCTCCCCAAGACCCTGCAGATGCCTCAGAGCTGCCTCCTCTCTTGAGGGAAAAGTCCTGAGCCTGGCTGCAGAGTAATTCATAAAGTGTAGGCATCTCCTGTTTCCTAGCTTCCTGAGAACAACGGCTTGAGCAGGCCCAGGACAAGCCCTGAAGGAATGGTACAGTGTGAGCCTCAGGCAGAGCGGCCTGATAAGCTGTCCTTTGTAGTAATATCCTCGGGCACTGCAAGCTGCCTGGGGCCGCTCTTACTAATGTGTTCCCTCCTTCACAGTTAAGTCAGGTTAAAGCCACCTTTTCCCAAGTGGGATTTTCCCCCAAGGAGGTCGGCAGGTTCCCCAGGGCCAGGCCCCTCTTCTCTTCAGTGGCAACCCTGCCCCGACAGTCCTTTTCAAAATACAGTGAAGGGATTTGTGTAGTGAAGATTTGGAAGCTGATGAACTACTTTACGCCTTTCTCCAACTTTTCCTTTCAGTCTTGAATCCTTCACCCTGGGGTCCCACCCCCAGATTTTGTTCAGTGGCTTTTGAGTCTAAAGGTAACAACTGGGCCTCTTGTGCTGGGACTGGGCTCTGAGGACCTCCTTTTGGGTGCTACCTGTTCTCAGAAGATCTGATGTACTCACTGGAGAAGACTGTAAGGGCCATCTGCTAGAGCGTCCTTGGTCATCCCAAGTTCTGTGCCACCAAGCAACCGACTCTCTGGTGACCAGTTCTTTTCCACTTTGCACCCTTTGCTCTGCCTCCTGGTCCAGCTGGGGCTGCTGCAGAGAAGCCCCAGCTCTTTGCTACATCCCAGGTTGGGGGTGACTCTGGGTAGCAGACCTCCCATCACTCTGTGGACAGTGCCTGAGAAAGGGACAACAGAAGGTGGCCCAGGAGGGCCATTTCCAGCCATCCACACGGGAAGCTGCTCCCCCACGTCTCCCGCCTAGCCTCAGGGTTCTAGGACCACATGCCATCTCTTTTCTTCTGCAGAATCAAGGAGAAGAATCCAGATCAGCAAGTGCTGTGCTGTCCAATGTCCCAACTCCAACAGCCAGTTTGAGTGGACACTTACCGAAGGAATTCAGGCCAAAATCATCAGACGATGCTGTTCAGAGCATCTCTGCAACAGAGCACCAGATACCCAGGTGTCCAGGGCGCTGCCAGGGAGGATCCTGCTGCCAATGGGTCTGGGCCTCTTCGGCACCCTATTGTGAGGACCATTGCCCTGTGACACCCCCTCCACCCGTGTAGCGCCTCTTGTCTTCCCCCTCAAGTGGCTATCCCACCTCCATCCATTCCAGGACTTGCACGGTGGAAGGGACACCATGCCCTTTGCTCAGGACCCAGCAGTCTGCTCCTACCCGACATCTTGACCCTGGCCATGGAAATAAAGCCCTGATGTTCCTCGTGGAGACAGACAAGGGAGGATTTCTAATGCAGGCCATGGGCTTCTTTGAGGAAGAAAAGGAAAGGAAAAGAAGTATTATAACTCTCACACACACACCTCATAAAAAAGTTTCCTTTTGCAATGTATGGAGACTGCCAAAAGGAGAGATTTCAGATAATAGTAAAATGCCCAAAGCACTCAGGAGTAGGTTTCTGGGAAGCAATCCCATCCCCAGCTCAGGCTAGCAGTGAATCCAAACACTTGGAAAATTGAGCTGCCCAGAGCCATTCTCCATCCATAGCACATGGATCTGCATCTGCAGCAGCTGCTGAGGCAAAGGGCTGGTCAACCTGCTCCATCAGAGTCAAAGAGAGTGCAGCTTCACACCAGAGCACCGCCATCGCTTCTTATACTGAAGATCATGGAAACCTCAGTGTCAGGGATGAGGATGCTCAACAGAGGTTGAGGTGGTGTGAGTGAGCAATGTCCCCCACAAGCCCAGGTATTGAACACTTAGTGTTCCCAGCTGAGTGGTGATGTTTGAGATGGAACATTTAAGGGGTGTAACCTTGGGGGAGTCAGTACGTCACTGGGGGTGGGCTTTTACAGTTCATAGCCTCGTCCACTTCCAATTCTCGCCCTCCCCTTTCTCTCTGCTCTGTGTTTGCTGTTGAATATGTGACCACTCAGCTTCCTGCTCCTGCTGCCTGCTGCCATGCCTCCACTGGCATTCTAGACTCCCCCTCTGGAATCGTCAGCTCAAATAAACCCGTCAGTTGCTTTTGCTCACAGTGTTTTTTCACAGCAACAAAAAAGTATTCTCATACAGGTGCCAATGCTGAGATGACATGGAAAACGGGTTACTGGGACAGCATAGCAGCTCTGATGTAAATATGCATGGTAAGGGCAAGCAGTTTGGGTGTCGGCGGGAAAGGACGAGATCTGCTCAGCAAGAAAGGAGGACCTCGAAGAGCAGCTGATGGAGGCGTGCAATAGAAAGACATCATTGCCAAAGTAAAGAGAAAGGGGACCCAAGATGAGGTTGAAGGTGACAGCCGAACTCAGGCAGGAGAGACAGGGAAGACATGAGCAGGCCAGCACCAGAAAGTCTGTGTGTGTGTGTGGCAGGTATCCCAGAGGCAGTGGAGACGTAATGCAGTGGGGAGAAACATGGGAAGAAATGACACGGGTCGGGGGTTACCTCGGTGGTGAAGGGGCTTGTCCAGCCTGTGAGACTCTGAGAAAGATCCCCAAACCAGAAAGAAAGGCAGGCAGGCAAGAAGGAAATTTCCCATCTCAGAGAAAGGCGTAAAGTGTGCTCCAGAATCAATAAACCCCAAACAGATTAAATCTAAAGAAGCTCATATATTATATTGCACATATCATAATCACAAGCTACGGTTCTTTTGGAGAGACGAGAAGGTGTGATATGGGGACGTGGTCGTGGCCATGGTGGCCCTGGACAGAGCAGTGGTAGGAATATGGAGTGGCATTCAGAGAGCAGACCCAGAGAGGAGAATTTGTGTGAGGTTCTGCTCTGGACTCAAGAGACATGGCCTGGACAAGCTAGTGAGGTGAGACCTAGGGCAGGACGAGGGAGGGAATGTCAGGGAATGTGGGAGAAGCCAAGTAAGAACTAGGTTGGTGCCAAATGTGTGATTTTGATCATTACACCATAGATATGTGAAAAATTAGTGTTTGAGCATAAAGAGTACAGAATAATTCTTTTTTTTTTCTTTTTTTTTTTTTTTTTTTTGGTTTTTTTAAAAAGGGGTGAACTTTCAATCCTCCTGCTTCATGCCACCCACCCCCAAAGGTTTGTTCCCTTTCAGCCCTGATAACACTGGGTTTCTTGGAAAGTGGATTTTTTTTTTTCTGAGAATTGTTTGAGGAAAAAAAAAAAAAAAGAA